GTCCTTTTCCGACCGAAAGGACTCTCCTGGGAGTCGGCAGCCACACCCATCCACCATGCAAAAGAGAGGGACGACTACATGCATGGTTTTCGGATGTGCCATTTTCATGCGGATATCTGACATTATGAGGTCATCTGGATTTCACCTCGATTCGCGGGTGTGCGGTCGGTAGCGTGCCAAACGTTCCATCAAGGCAGTTGGGGCTTTCGACACAACAAGCTGGGCGATGCATCGTGCAAGCTTTTGGCGAAGGCGCATTCCGCATGACATCTTACGTCTTATATCCCATGTGCAATGTGTGTGTGTGTGTTGCTCCGTTGGCATGTTGTCTGAAGGCTCTAGATCCTGAGGGTATTGGTGCTCCGAATCGTCTCAACGTCTGGGATCTGCGCACCAACCGGATCGGTGACCTGATGCACTAGAAACTTGTTGTGCCTCGAGCGAGGCAGTCATGCGACGTGCCTTTCCATCAGGTCTTGAAGGCTGCAAAGCCTTGGCTCCTCTCTTAGCTTGCCATCGCTTCGCCAAGACTTCATGGCAGCCTGGGAATTCTCCTAGGTACCTGTCATCGGATCTATGGAGGTAGCTCGTCTAGGGTGCAACCCTTTGGGTGATGCGGGAGCATCCCGGCTTGGAACGGCGAGGAATCCAGCAGACACCTGTGCGGCCATTCTTCCTCTCCCTTTCTCCCCTTCTGAGGGAGAGCAGCTGGCCAACGGCCTCGGGCGCAGCCTTCGCATCCTCGCGGCTTCGGTCGCATTTGGGGGGGCTCACAGGGACACGGAAGGCAGGGACCCGAGAGCCGGGGCTTAGGACCTTCGGCAAGCAGAGCTGGGAGAGGCCGGGGACTTCGCAAAGGGCAGCGCAGGAATGCTCATGCCCACGCAGCGGCACTTCTCGATGGGACTGGAGACGGTTATGTGTCATGTCTGCGATATTCTGCGATTGTATGACACGTAACAGACGCAACTTAGCAACGAATGTGATCCATTGTAAGCCCATCATAAATTCACTTGCCGTGGCAAATGGGCGAGTGGGATGCTGAATTGCTCGTCCCATACATGTCAATGGCCCGACTTGCTGTGAACATGGAACAGGCGGCGACCCTGGCTCTGGGAAGAAAGCTCCGGGATGCAGCAACACTGCAGGCCCCAGTGCTGCAAAGCTTTCTGTCAGAAGCACCCCCAACTTGCAGGAGCTCCTATTGTCCGGAAACAACATCGGGCCTGCAGGGGCGCAGGCCTTGGCAGAAGGCTCTTTCGGAGAATTGGGTTTTGTGGCTATTGTGCACACGAAGTGGAAGATGCCAGGCTGGGCGTGGATCTCCTCCTTGCGACACGTGGACTTGTCGGGAAATATGGCCATTGGGAAGGAGGGTGTGGATCTCCTGGTAGACGAGCTACCCTTTTGGCAGCAGGCCGATGCCAGAGTGAGAGTGGTGCAGTTTGTGAGTGTGACCTGTGCACCTGGCATGCTGCCTTGCGTCAGGCACCATTTCGGCTTTCCCTTGCCAGCATCGGCTGCGAGGCAACTGTTTCATCTCTGTACGCCTCTTCTCGGCCCAATGCGCGACCGCGTCGACCTCGAAGGACGAAGGAGCAAAGAGATTGGCCGCTGCACTGAGAAAGAATCCGCGTAAAGGCCAGCTCATTCAGCGGAGAGCTCCTGTAAAGTTTTGACTTCCCAATGGCCCAACTGTTGTAGACAGGACGCGGATGGACGATTGATCTTCAGAACAACCCAATTGGTGTCTGTCTCAGCGTGTGTGCACTGGCAGGGTCTCAGTCTGTGACTCTTTAATGCCGGTGCACCAGCAGATGTGTCAGGCAGCTGGATGAAACTGCAGATCTTGCAGTTGCTGGAGGAGGTGCCGGATGTCTATATACCCTGAGCCCAAACCAACAGTGAACCAGGACTTATTCCGCTGTGATGACATGCGCTCAGCACGCAAGTGAGCAGAGCAGCGCGGATCTCCATCCGCCGCTTGGGTGTGGTATGTATGGACCGCCGAAGTGCTGGTGCCGGGCCTGTTTCCCGAAGCGTTTGTTTGGTCTGACCGAACAAGGAGATGTGAGTCATCCGAAATGCACAAGCAGAGTGTGAATCTGCCCGACATGCTATCCAGCCTGGCGGATTAACAGTAGCTAGGTTACCTAGGTCCGCTCTGCGAAGCAGAGACGGACAATCCTGCCATTATTAACGGATTGATGCGGGCACTTTGGGTGCGTGTACAGTTCGACTTCCACTGTGCATAGAGCCTGCAAGCAGGCCATCCCGTCTCGAATAGCATCGTTTGCTCCGCATTAAACGCTCTGTTGTTCCAGCCATCCGCCTCCACTAGGTCTTCAGGCGGCCTGATGCAGTGCATGTCTGGAAGAGGTATGTTGAAGCACAGAAGGCTCGCAAGAAGTACGAGGCTTTCCAGAGCCATATCTTTCTGCAAGGTTAGAACAGAGGAATCTAGAACTTCAGGAGCTTCGGACAAAAGAGGAGGAGCGACAGAGGCGCCTGGTCGATCAGGCGCCTGGTCGAACGGAGTTCTGTAGAGGCGGGAGCCTGCAGCTGGGCCAAACAGATGCCACTGCAGGCCCAGCAGCATGAGATGACGGAAGTAGAGCAGGCGGGAACCGGGGGGCGGGGACCCGGGGAGCGGCAGCCCGACGTCGCCTGCACGAGGCCCAGCGAGCTCAGTTTCTGGGATTCTCGAACGCTTGGGACAAGTACATGGTGAGCCACCGAGACACCCCAAGAGCCTCACCAGGCAAAGTGGAACTGCTGTCCTTCTGAGGCAGACTATGAGTCCACAGCCTACATGAGTGGGGAGCTCAGTTGAGCAGAATCGGCCCTGAGTGGGACAATGCTTCCCTCGCGCCCCACCCGGTTCTAACTCGGATCCCCTGATTCCCTCGCCCCCGCCCCATGTCCCTCCGGTCCCGCCGCCCCGGGTTTCGCCCCGCGGCCCTCTCTCCCTGTTGTATAGGGTATAGGGTCGTCTGCGAGATAGAGTCTTCTGCTAGGCAGTTTTGTGAGGAAGGGTCTTCTGTTAGCCAGGGTCTTCTGTTCGTTAGACAAGGATTTTGAGAGTTCTGATCGCAAAGTGGCTTGGCTTGGCTTGGCGAGTCAACTGCTTGTTACACAGGGTTTCCTGTTGAATAGGGTCTTGTGCTGGATAGGCTCTTCTTTTAGACAGGCTTTATTAGGACCAGGTCTCTCTTGTTTGCAAGGGTCTTCTGTTACACAAGGGTTTTTAAGAGTTCTGGTTTTCCAATTTTCTTGGCTCGGCTTGGCTGGCTTGCAAACAAGTGTCCCCGTCCCCCCCCCCCCCGGGCCTCGAGTTCCCTGCATCCCGTCCCGTCCCTCGCGCCTCTCGTGTCCCCTCCCGTCCCTTGCATCCCGCCCCGCCTCTCCACCGCCGCATCCCTCGCATCCCTCACTGCCAGGGGCCAATAGCCCAGTTGAGCTGTGCTGCACACGCGTCACCTGTTTTTGTGAGCCTGTCTAGCGGCCTAGCGTACGCATGCGTACGCTGCTCGCGGCAGATGCCGCAAACTGCAAAAGGTTGATGCTCGCAGGCGCCCTTGCCTTCAAAGGCATCACTGCGACACCAGCCTCGTTCATATGAGGACGAGGTCTAAGCCTGCTGCATAGACAACAGACTAACGAAGAATCAGCACTGGCCTTGGCCACGGGGCCCGGGACTCCAAAAACATCGTCAGTGCAGTGCACGCCCTTAGAAGCACAGGCCTCGAGCGGCTGAAGGCAGGGCCTCACTGTCTGTGTCTTTTTTGGACGCCTTCAGCGAAGTTCGTTTCCGCAGCGTGTTTGCAGCAGGAGCAGCATGGCGAAGAGCTGGGACGGTTTCAGGACCCCCTGTTTCGCCGTGTTTGTATGACTTTCCACTAGCGGAGTGACGCGTTGAGGAGATGATCCGAAACCAGCCTCCGCGGGTGAAGTGCTCCAGAGAGCTCCTAGAGCTCCGAAGAAAGCAGGAGGTTGGCAGCCTCAGAAGCCCCAATGCCTTAATACTTAATCTCGCAAGCGACACCGCGACGATGCGACATCCACGTGACATGCTGTTCATGCTGTTCTGCAAGAGACGGGATTGGGGATATGACCGCCGCGCTTTGGCAGGCTCTGGCCAAGCTCGGAAAATATGAGGATGCTTGGAAGGCAAGGCACCAGTGCACCAATAGGAGTACTGAATCAGCGTGAGAGTGCGTATGCGTTTGCCCGCAGCGCACAAGCCTTCAGAAACTCAGCGCCATCCTGCCATGTCGAGGTAAAAGAAGATGGAGATCAATTAGAGCAGTGGGAGCAAGCTCGCAGTGCGTCCGAACTGGCATGTTTTGCCTGGAGGGTGATGCATCACAATATAGCAACACAAGCCAGGTCTTTGGTAAGTGACAGTGTGACGGCCCTAGTTGACAATCAAGTCTGCGTTCGCAGCGCATGGGCAGTTTCTCCAGCAGTATCCATGTGTCATCGGAGGCCAAAAGACAGGAAACACGGTTGAGATCACAGCAGCAGAAGGCAGGACCATGCAAGTTGCGTTTGAAGTTAGGTTGTCGAGAGAGAGAGAGAGAGAGAGAGAGAGTGTGTGTGTGTGCGCGTGTGTCTGTGCGTGCGCGTGTGCGCGTGTGTCTCTCTCTGTCCGTCTGTGTGCGAGCTGCTGGTGGCAGCAGCCAACTTCTGACAATGTGCCGGAGATACCTGGTACCTGCGGCAGCAATTTTTGTCAGCTTGAAAGTGCTTGTGTAGATACATCTCGCGGGAAGTGACGCCGACAAGATGGCGGAGGGCCGCGTGTA